ATTACGCTTCACATGTGAACACGAGGATTGCAACAAATTGTCGTTTTTAGATGTACTCGTGGAAAAGACATGTGAGGGTGTTGTGACATCGGTGTATCGTAAGCCTACATTCACTGGTCAGTATATTATGTACGATTCATATTGCTCTTCGCAATACAAGACCAATCTAGTCCGAAACTTAGCTGACAGGGCAAGACGCATTTGCTCCGAGAGTAAACTGCAAGCAGAACTTGATTTCCTTCGCTCTGTCTTTCTTAAGAACGGGTATCCAGGATCACTGTTAGCGAAACTACTCACGAACAATGCGCCCCGTAAGGAACTGACAATCGGCCCGGCTCCTTGTCGTGTCTTCCTGTGCCTGCCTTGGAAAGGCGCGGAGTCGACAAAGGTCAGTCGTATTGTCAAGTCTATTGTCCAGAAGACGTACTATGCAGTGAATGTAGTAACTGTCTTCACCACGATACGTTCGTTCACGGTGTTGAAGGACGTCCTGCCGACCCATCATTTGAGTCACCTCATTTATCATTTTGAATGCCGACAGTGCGGTAGTCGGTATGTTGGCAGGACGCTTCAACACTTGTCCGAACGTATCAAACAACACGTCCCATTGTCCTTGTTGTCAAAAGCGGCCAGGGCAGGCAGGCCAAAGCGTGGGAGGCCGAGAAAACACCCGTTGCCTACTACTACGCCTGTCAGTATTACAACACAACCGGAAACGGATACAACACCGGACTCAACAGTAGCGCAACACACGAATCTGGTGTCACTCTTGACGACAACAACACGGCATGGGAGACCACCGGACGATCGTTCGTTAACAAACCTGACGGCGGTAACGGAAAGATCACCAGGAGAACGAAATGAAAATGGAGGAAAAACGAATCTGAGGAGAAGCCAGAGACTAGCGGAGACACGACTGAGAAAAATGGAGAAGGCGGAACCAGTAGTGGCAGGTGAAAGTACGGGCGCAGCAGTGAACACGTCAAGGAGAAAGAAGCGATGGCATGAGGAGATGGAGATGGAGGATGATGATGGGGATGAACAGGATGGTCAGGAGGAAAGCAAGGGTGAGCGGGAGCAGGAAGTGGAGGATGAGAGTGATACGGACGAGGAGGAGTTCGACATCGACAAGAGCAAGTCTGCCATCTACAAGCATTTGGTGTCCAGTCCGGATTGTCGTAAGTTGTTTGACGATTCCTGGTTTAGTGTTATTTGTCGCGCGCGTTTCTTTAAGCAGTTGCAGGTGTTGGAAGCTGTATATATTCGCACACGTGACCCTGTTCTATGCAAGCAAAAAGAAAATGTTGTAGCACTCACACTTTTTAAATAATACACACTCACCAGTTTTTGTTCACACGCACTCACAGCTGCCACATTCATCTACTGCTACCATTCTCAGATACACTGCAAAGGTTCACACTACACGCGTTATGCATAACCGCTAGCTGTGCTGCATTCTCACGCTTCTTTTCATGTTACTCTAGCTATATAACTGGTTGTTTTAGTGATTCTTGCTATGTGACGATGTTCCACTGATGATGGTCACACGAAAACGTTCTGGAATTGTTTCATTTTAATTGTTTATACATGATTATGAGTGCACAATTGATATTTTTCATTGCTATTATTATTATTATTATTATTATTATTATTATTATTATTATGGTGTAGCGATTATTATTATTACTTTTATTATTATATATGAGTTACGAAGTCTGAAGAAAATGTTGAACGGCCTCTGCTGGGATGACGACTACACCATAGCTCAGTGGTTAGAGCATCGCTGGCTACAAGCGAGAGTCCCTGGTTCGAGTCCTGGTGGTGACAGTCAATTTTTTCTTCAGACTTTTCCCGTTTGTCTCTTTCCCTCAAACCAGTTAATATTTTATGACTTGGGGCTCCCCGCGTGCTAGTTTGTACGTGAAGTGTGTGGGTTACAGTGAGGGCTGCGTCCCACCCGCCTGTGTGGATTCACAGGAAGTGTGAGTTACGAAGTCTGAAGAAAATGTTGAACGGCCTCTGCTGGGATGACGACTACACCATAGCTCAGGGGTTAGAGCATCGCTGGCTACAAGCGAGGGTCCCTGGTTCGAGTCCTGGTGGTGACAGTCAATTCTTTCTTCAGACTTTTCCCGTTTGTCTCTTTCCCTCAAAATAGTGAAGATTTTATGACTTGGGGCTCCCCGCGTGCTAGAGTGTACGTGAAGTGTGTGGGTACAGTGAGGGCTGCGTCCCACCCGCCTGTGTGGATTCACAGGAAGTGTGAGTTACGAAGTCTGAAGAAAATGTTGAACAGTCTCTGCTGGTATGACGACTACACCATAGCTCAGTGGTTAGAGCATCGCTGGCTACAAGCGAATGTCCCTGGTTCGAGTCCTGGTGGTGACAGTCAATTTTTTCTTCAGACGTTTCCCGTTTGTCTCTTTCCCTCAAACCAGTTAATAATATTATTATTATTGTTATTATTATTATTATTATTATTATTGTAGATAGACTCCAATACACGCAAATACCTTTGACTACGTGAACGAGACCAAACAGAAAAACAATCATCAGCATAACTAGAACGACAATCACTATTCTGAACAAGATGGTTGGCAACAGAAGATTCATACACCCTAACATCTTGTTCAGAATAGTGATTGTCGTTCTAGTTATGCTGATGATTGCTTTTCTGTTTGGTCTCGTTCACGTAGTCAAAGGTATTTGCGTGTATTGGAGTCTATCATTCTACATTTTTACCACCAAGCCGATTTTGTGTAGGCAGAAAAAGAATTATTATTATTATGTCTCCTTTATTCACTTCTTTCGAAGGCGATAAGCCAGACCCACCCGTTGGTCCGAAGCCGTGCCCATTCCCGATGCTACCGCAGCGACCACTGCCATGGCATTTGTGTCGACATGGGTTGCTCGTTTTGGCGTGCCGTCTGTCATCACGACTGACTGTGGTTCGAATTTCGAATCGGCTCTCTTCCAGCAGCTAATGCATCTTCTTGGTACTCATCGCTGTCGTACTACTGCCTATCATCCGCAGGCTAACGGCTTAGTCGAGCGCTTCCACCGCCAACTGAAGGCCAGCATCAAAGCGCAACCACAGCCGCACCAGTGGGTCGCTGCACTGCCTCTCGTTCTCCTCGGTGTCCGGTCATCTCTCCGGACTGATCTCAGCTGCAGCTCTGCCGAGCTCGTTTATGGTTCAACGCTCCGTCTCCCAGGCGACTTCCTCGCTCCCGCTCCCAACGACGACTGGGTGCCTACTGCTGAATATGTTGCGCGTCTTCGGGACACGATGTCTTCTATCCGACCAGCTCAGCTTGACACTCGCCTTCAGGCCCGACCGGTCCCTTTTGTCTGTGCGGACCTCTCCGCATGCACTCATGTTTACGTCCGCGTTGATGGACACCGTCAGCCACTCCAAGCTCTATATACCGGTCCTCATCGTGTTCTTTCCTGTTCGGCCAAGTCTCTGGTGGTTGAGTTGAATGGTCGAGAGGACACCATCTCCATTGACCGCGTGAAACCCGCGTATGGAGCTGCCAGTCTCAGTGCTGCGGTTGCTTCTTCCATTGCTGCTCCTAACTCTCCCCTTTCAGCTGCTGCTAAACTATTTGTTCGGCGCGTTCATTTTTCTGTTTAATGTTTTCTCGGCTTTTCCTTTTCCGTGTCGTTCCTTTTCTTATCGTGTACCGCTACTGCTTGTACACTGGCGGTGGAGTATCTGTAGTGCCTGCACGGATTTCTTGCGATTTATCTTTCGTTCCGCGATTTTGTAGTTTTGTACATTTCTCAAGCTTCTGCGCGGCAACATTTTATTTACAGGATGTAGCCTTTATCATGTTGCCATTGTCGGCTACGTAGAGTACCATGCTACACATGACCCTCGGAACGTTGCGCAGATGTACCACTTCCTGCGAACTCTGCTACATGCTTATGTACTCTACCATATTTGTATACATTTGCACGTGTATTGTTGTTCCACCAAGTATCCTTTACGAGGATCTAGCTCTGGCATTGAAAGTCGGCTCAGGCTTTCTTCTTCTTGCTTTTCCACTTCTGGACTTCTGGCAGTAGTTTGTGGTTTGTCTCTGCACGTAGAGTTCTTCCCTTTTTGGACTATCTCCTTGCCATTTCCTGTGTGCAATATACCGATTCTCGCTGACTCGATACTGGGAGTTAATTGTTAAAAGAACATTGTCTGCTGTACGCGTGATTAGAGGCACGTTTCCAAACCCTCTAAAATACTGTATTTTATTTCGTATGATTCCTTCAAACCGACTCAGCAGACACAAGGTAAGACGTTCGAATTGCACCGTGCCGGTTGCGCTTGGTCTGACCCCCGGGACCCCCCTGGGTTTGACGTTTGACCCTGCCATGACATAAATATCAGGAGACCCGCGCGTCGCACCACTCTCAGACACAAGGTACCCCGGACCCCCCAGGGTTTGACTTTTGACCCTCCCATGCCATAAATGTCATCCTTAAGGTTCTTGTGCACGTTCGGTGCGTTCGTTGTATTTGCGCATGCTACTGTAGCATACATGGAAATCCAGTCGATTGGCCAGGCCGCCGGGCCGGCGCTCTCAGAAGTCAGCGCGTACAGAACGCTGGGTGCACACGGCTGTTTCGCGGGCGAAAGGCTAAAGGGACAAGCTTATCTATTTTTGCGGATTTTCCATCATAAAAAAATAAACGTCACAGCCAAGCCTTCGTACGTGGCCGTGTCGCACGACCGCGATACCGATCGGAAGCTCCGGGACACTTGGCCGTGGCCATTGCAGGGTCGGACAGATGACGGATACATTTCAGCTTGCAGTCGCGTACACGTACATACATACATTGTACAACAATACACATTGTTTTATGACCTGAAACTTGAAAGGTCATTGCGGCGGGAAGGGAAGAATACCGGTAGTGACAGACAACGTTTTGGTTTTTTGGTTTTGTTTTTTTAGATGGACACGTTTTGGTTTTGGTTTTTGTCCTGATCATGATCCGATATGATGGCAAACGAGGTTAGAGTATTAGATGGAGCGGAGGAATTGGAGGATTTCCTGAAAGTTGCCCTACCACGCGCTAGCTTTGTAACGAGGACCACAGAAAAACCGTTCTCAAACAGGTAAGACCCACCAAAACGAAGCACGAAAATGCTGTCTTCATCGTGTTTATGTTGGTTCCAAAGGAGCAGTGAGTCGTATAATTCATAGGTTTTGAAGAGAAGAATATGCAGTGTGCATTGCCCTACAGTAGTGCACAGTGCGTTACAGCCCTGCTAGCGGATAGACGTAAATGCATTCACACTTGCATAGAGCGGGACGATTATAAATTAGTTTTGATATTCACTGCACCCATCCCACATACTGTAGTGTCGCGTATAAAAGGCATGACCTGTATCGAAGCATGACTCGAATAGAAGCCGATTTTTTTGAAGCCCGCTGTAACACAGTTGGTTTGAATAGAAGCCGCTCCCTGTAAAGTACATGTGCGAGTACATGCGTGGCAGTATCCACTGCACAGTGCAGAATGATGTTGACGTAGAAGCATATTTCGAATAGAAGCATAACTTGAATAGAAGCATGGTTTGAACCCCGGTTTGCTGTTATACGCGACATTACGGTATTAGAAACATTGGAACGAAATATGGCAAGGATGCATCAAAAAATTGATGGTCATGCTGCCTGTTAGTTCGTTCAGCAGGGTACGAAACCTTACACCCAGGGTGCTGAATCATGTTTTGGGAATCAGGCTCTAATTTGATTCCCTGTTGAGCAAGAAGACCTCACATCCACTGTATTCCAACACATAACTAACCATATTCCAACGCATATCTGTGCAGTGTACATAGCGTCGTCACTGGATTAACAGTAATGACTGCTGGTATATATTGTCTCGTACATGTATGTGTGCTATGTCCACAAATGTTGCAGTGTTGAAGAGATCTTCAAGGAGGCCATTCTGCGTCCAAAGGCCTTCATATGGAGCCAGGAACGTGGCACGAGCTGTGCACCGATTCCTTTTGATGGAGCTCCGTTCGTCTGCTGTGGCTTTCGCATACTAGAATGTCAATTTGGGAAGCACAGGTAATGGAATTAAATGGGCAGGAAGAATCTGAATGTGATCTATTTCATGCAATTGCTAGTTATCAATGAGAACAGTTGTACTATCTCTTCATTCTTTTGCATCACCTTTGTCAGTGACCAAGTGTTGTTGTGTCGGTAACATTACAGGTGCCACACCACAAAATCCACCGAGTCCTCTGATGATGTAACGAGTTCAGCATCTGATCATTCTTACCCCAAAGCCTCAGCTGATAAGAAGAAGAAGAGAATAAAACTCCAAGGTCAGAAGCATACCCAGAGTCATGGTTATCTTTTTGGTGCACATTGCTGTAAAGCTAGGCATCGGTTTTTTTTAAATTGTTCTACATGTCATCATGTCAACTGCTATACAAATGTACGAATAAGCAATCTTTGCCACTATCCAGCTGTAATGCACCCAGCTTATAGTTTACCGCATGTTGATGTCACTGTGGTATGCCCTGTAATTCTTATAGGGACAAGAAAAATTGGATGTGAGGCATCGTGCAACATTCGTCGCATTCTGCGACTCCCCGCTTATTCGGTTGACTCAACTGGTCTTTCTGCTTCCGCCTTGGTAAAAGCAAAAGCGGGTAAAGTGAAGGAGCTTAAGATATCTATTTTGGCTGCTCTCGATGCTGGCGACGTGTCCAAACTCAATGTGTGCGATCGGTGAGTTATACTAACATTATAACATACCTTTTTATGTCATAGTGCGAAAGTAATTGATTGTGTACAGTGATCGGTAGTTCATGTATGAATGCCACACTTGCCATGTAAGGTACGTAGGCCAATTAACCCAGTTCTATGGTACCATAGTATGTGTAATGTACGTAGCTCTGCAGAATCACCAATAAAATGTCTTTCACGTACGTGCATGCCCACTAGGTTTGTCGTGAGCTACCCAACTGAGGGTAGTCACAGTGGTCATGATGTCATTACCGAGAAAGGTAAACTCGCCAGCGAGCTCAGCCATAACTCAGTCAGTCGGTTATCGACCGAATTCTCCAACTCGTCGAGAGTGGTCTAGGAGATGCCCGGGCTATCCAGACCATGTTCAAAGTGGAGTATAGGCATATAAGTACTTCCATAGAGAACAATCTTCAGTGCTCAATCACCCAATAGTCACTTGATAGCTTTCTGTACACATTCTTGTTGCTGTGCACTGACCATTGTGGTTAGACGGTAGTTTATGCACGTGATAACTTTCTGTGATAAAAGGAAGGCAATCTCCTTTAATACGACCTATGTCGGATATGCATTGTCTACTGCCTAGGAATTTGGCCGGGCGTACCACCCAGAGCTAAAGGACATCCGCTCCCACATAGCCCTGGCTACCCATAAGCTGCAGCAATCTAGGCTGGACCAGACTCAGATGGCCCACAAGGTGAGTATGGACACGAAGAGAAACGGTGTTCGTGCATTCTGTTATCAATTCTAACCTGCTTGGGTTTCATCAGACATTTCCCAATTCAAGCGATACTACAATATTTTGGCGAAGAATAAAATCAATACTGGAAGACCTGATATTTTAACGTCAATTAAAGTTAGCGATCTCTGGATTTTGTTGGTCAACGAGGTGAAATGTAATGACTGCATACGTACATTTTTGCACATAACCTTAAGTGTTCGTTAACATTAGTGGTCTTACAGGAGTACCGATCCACCTGTTTTCTTTTCCTTCCAGGTGAAGGCATGGTCTGAGTCCCCCCGCCCACCTGCGCTTCTGCAGTTCCGGCCATATGTGCCAGATTCAGAACCATCAGAGTGCAGTGCTGCACCAGCTCTTTCCTTGGAAGCTGAAAGTGACTTGGAAGCCAGTGATGGAAGGTACATTATAATAATTATATGCTATTTTATATGCTATTTAGTATCTATTTAATATGCCTGCAACTGCTCCTTGCAAGTGCTGATTGTAAGTGCGTGGGCTCGGAGCAGTACCAAAATTAACAACAGCCGGAATGCCCTAACAAAGCTTTGTTGGCCACTGACATTGGTAAACGACTTTTCCCTTTCTAACAGAGACTTGTTGTAAACCTTGTGATGTTGTAAATTTTCTGACACAGATATAAGGGCAGCGGCGGCGGTGATGACGAACCGCTAGTGGATCCCGTGCCAGCCTCTTCACGCCTCCTGGTAATACACCAGGAGGTATGGCAAAGAGAGCTTCTAGTAAAGTATGGCGAGCTCGTTCTTATGGACGCTACATACCGCACAACGTGCTATGACCTGGCCTTGTTTTTCCTGGTTGTGCACACTAATACAGGCTACATCGTTGTGGCAGGTAAGTGGCTTGGAATGATGGCGAATACAAGACTTCAATTACTGTTCACGATTCATGGTTTCTCTCAGTTGTCTTTTTGGCTTGGAATGATGGAGAGCACAAGACTTCAATTACTGTTCATGATTCATGGTTCCTCTCAGTTGTCTTTTTGGGCTTGGCACCCTCAAAGAACATGAGTCTTCTTTCACCATTTTTAAGTCTTGCAAAGGAATAGCAGTTTTCCTGTCTGGTTTAATTTCACTGTGTGTAGAATTCTGTGTGCAATCGAAGAAACACGCTGATATAGCTGAAGCTCTCACTATAATCAAGCAACGGACTCCGTCTTGGAAACCTAAATTTTTTATGACGGATTATTCCCAGGCTGAGATGCTTGCACTGGAGGAGGTAATTAGATTGATTTATTTAGAACTTTTGGAGGTGTGTGCATAATTAAAGGGGAAGTTAAGGCAAAAATTAAAATTTCACCAGTTGTAGTCTTCGGGGTGCTGAGTCGAATGGTCTTGGTCCGAGGAAGCTGAGACGCTCCCTTCCTACTTGAATCCCAATCGAACTCGCGCACTTCCACCGAAACTGGGTGACTGCGCCCTACGAGATGGGGATTTGTATGCAAAATGTCACTAAAAGCGCCATTTCGTTCTTATAAAAGCACGGATGACCGCGATTGGCCCATATGTTGTAGTCTTTTGGACGCCGAGTCGACTGGTTTTGGTCCGAAAAGGCTGCGATGTAGCGTTCCTCCTTTATTCCCAATCGAACATGGTTGAACAAGCGGTCACGTGCTCCTGCGTACACCAGTCACCTGGTCACCGTGCCTGCAGGGTACAACTTACTAGCCTGTTTGACCTTTTTTGGGTGCACTCCTGTCACTCGAGTTGAACTCGAGTTGAACCTTGGTGTGAAATTTGTCGCCTGCTGGCGTGGTGACCAGGTGATTTGGGCACCCAGGAGCACGTGACCGCTTGTTCAACCATGTTCGATTGGGAATAAAGGAGGAACGCTGCATCGCAGACTTTTCGGACCAAAACCAGTCGACTCAGCGTCCAAAAGACTACAACATATGGGCCAATTGCGGTCATCCGTGCTTTTATAAGAACGAAATGGCGCTTTTAGTGACATTTTGCATACAAATCCCCATCTAGTAGGGCGCAGTCACCCAGTTTCGGTGGAAGTGCGCGAGTTCGATTGGGATTCAAGTAGGAAGGGAGCGTCTCAGCTTTCTCGGACCAAGACCATTCGACTCAGCACCCCGAAGACTACAACTGGTGAAATTTTGATTTTTGCCTTAACTTCCCCTTTAATATACCGGCTCACCTTTGTGCATAGTTCAGTACGGTTATTGTTTTCATTATTATAAGCTTGTTCGCGTTGGCATCACCAAGCAAGCTATGGTTGTTGGTTAGGTATGATTACCATATGAGAATTTAAAAAATAAATGAGTAGGAGGTCCTCGTGGTGACAGCCATTTTTCTTCTGACTTTTCCCGCTTGCATCTTTCCCTCAAACCAATGATTAAGTAATATTAGAAGTTTGTAACATGGAATTGTGGGCACGAGTTATGCGATCGAGTCCACCAACTAAACCAGATTTTTAACAGTCAGATGTGCACAATCTAGCACAAAACTGACAAGTGCCCACACTTTCCATGTTCCAAATTTTTCCTTGGCTCACCATCAGAGTTCTTAAAATAGTAGTAGAAGGTCATTATTTTTCCCGTTCTGCTGCAATCTTATTTTCCGCATGTATTCGCATGTTTCTACGTATCTTTGTGTGCTTGATGGAACTATAGGTTTTCCCTGGAGGGAGGATATTTCTCTGTGACTTCCACAGAGAGCAGGCTTGGCAGCGCTGGACCAAAGACCGTTCCCACGGCCTAAGTGATGATGAAGCCGTAACACTGCTAGAAAGCTTGCGACAATTGGCTTATGCTTCACCATGTCGAGAGGCGGGACAATCTCCAGAAAAGTATGAGATTGAACATCCTGAGCCTTTGCATTTGTAGAGTTTTTCGTTAATTCAAGTTTTGAGTTCCCCTGATGTTGCAAATGCTTTGTGGTATGTGCGTATAATACCATGGATTTTTTCCTGTGTTTCAGACACTACCGTGAAGCGGAATCAAAGCTGCGTAGTCTTGATGTGTGGTGCGCCAATAAGCACGTGCGAAATTGGCTGAATGCCAAATGGCTCTCAATCCCAGAGGTACATTTGTGTTATTATTATTATATTAGAGATCCTGCAGCGCAAATGCGACATTACTATTGCATAACTAAGCTCTGGCTGCTTCTCGACAATGTGCTGAACAATGTTCTTTAGAGCACGGGAACATTCGGAAGCGCACATACCATTTGGTTTTCAGTTTCTTCTTTCTGACACCCGGTTTGTTTTCTAATAAAGGCGAAGATCAGCAGTAGTAGTAGTAGCAGTAGTAGTAGTCGCAGTAGGAGTAGTTATTAAATTTTGATTGATTAGTTTTTACTGATTAGTGTGTCCGGAGTTGGATGGCTCGGAGGGCAGAATGTACTTGGCTGTATCTGAGAGTGTTCGGTATTGTGTTCTATTTCATACAGCGGTGGGCCAGGGCATGGACAGAGCGTGAATACCACCACAACGTGTTTACGAACAATGGAGTCGAGGCCCAAAACAAGGTTCGCATATTTGGCATAGCGGATTAAGCCGGACTGTACACATGCACATGTCCCTGTGTTTTATCTAGTTACATCCGATATTGACTACTAGTATGTCGCCGAGTGTTTGTTTCTTAGATGTAAGGCAATTATTCGTGTCAATACAAACATGTTCTCTTTTCTCACAATTATAATATCTATTCTTATCTGATTGTCTTCTTTGAAAGGTCCTCAAATATGCCTTCCTGAAATCTAACAACGGCAAGAAAAGGACGCTTAGGGATACCTTCACCATCATTATTGAGCAGTTCCTACCTGAGCAGCGAGATAAGTACCTGAAGAAGAATATCATGCGGCTGAGCTCCTTCCGAAGGTAAACGTCTTCACTGTTATGACCATATCCACGTTTCACGTCACTGGCATCTAAATTGTACACCCCAACTCCTCTGTTTGGACACCCAATGTACAGTACATGTACTGCTTTACCTCTGTACGGGAACTGTTATTTGCGTTGTGTTTCTTCAGGTACAACGACTACGTACCAGTATACCTACGCGACCGGCCCAGGAATGTCATCCTGCACTGCATGGAACGCGAGCAGTCTTCTCAGGAGTACATGCCAGGTAGGTCTTTCCTAGTAGGCTTTGGTTTGAAATATTGTCCATAATCTGTACTGCATATGCATCTCCTTGATCTCAGAGTTGCAACAAACAAGCCTCGCTCCACTTTTGTGCTGTGCAGGTCATGGATGTATGAAATCTGTCACGGTTTCACATGTATTCTAGCAAAAGGAACTTAAGAAAGTCCATATTGAGTCACCCATCCACCAATCCCTTTGAGAACTACTTATCATCATTTTCTCCTCTTTCCCTGTAGAGAATGGTGAAGCTGCTGGGGATCACCAGTATAATGTCAAGTCATTTGGGAGGACTCGTCTCGTTTGCTTTGAAACACCCTCATGTTCTTGCGAGGACTGGAATCTGAGAGCCCTACCGTGCAAACATATGTTTGCCGTATTCAAGAACGTACCCGGCTGCAGCTGGGAGTCGCTACCCGAGACGTACCGCTCCAGCCCCAAAATGACACTAGACATCGATCTTGGAGATGGTGAGGTTCATTCAGAAGATTTGGAAGTGCCCGAGCAGGTGAACAACTCGCATGAAGTTGGAGCCCAGCTGTCAGATCCAGTTTCAAATGAAATTCCTTTACACAGGGTAAGTTTGTTTATAGCTTGTTGTGCTTTTTGAGCCTTTTTCCCTTGCATATAATCGCCTGAAAGAAAATCATTGCGTAACATTTTTACAAAGGCTACGTGGAGACAATAATCTTAAAATAATAATGCAATGCGTGAAACTATAGGCGAGCTATGATAGCATGGGACATTATATCCGTTGCTATGACTGTGATATGAGTGCGCCCATTCATTGCATTATTAACGTTTGAAAACATGTACATTATATTCTCCGACAATTCTGATCAATTCTACACCATAGCTCAGTGGTTAGAGCATCGCTGGCTACAAGCGAGGGTCCCTGGTTCGAGTCCTGGTGGTGACAGTCAATTTTTTCTTCAGACTTTTCCCGTTTGTCTCTTTCCCTCAAAACCAGTTAATATTTTATGACTTGGGGCTCCCCGCGTGCTAGTTTGTACGTGAAGTGTGTGGGTACAGTGAGGGCTGCGTCCCACCCGCCTGTGTGGATTCACAGGAAGTGTGAGTTACGAAGTCTGAAGAAAACGTTGAACGGTCTCTGCTTGGATGACGACTACACCATAGCTCAGTGGTTAGAGCATCGCTGGCTACAAGCGAGGGTCCCTGGTTCGAGTCCTGGTGGTGACAGTCAATTTTTTCTTCAGACTTTTCCCGTTTGTCTCTTTCCCTCAAAACCAGTTAATATTTTATGACTTGGGGCTCCCCGCGTGCTAGTTTGTACGTGAAGTGTGTGGGTACAGTGAGGGCTGCGTCCCACCCGCCTGTGTGGATTCACAGGAAGTGTGAGTTACGAAGTCTGAAGAAAACGTTGAACGGTCTCTGCTTGGATGACGACTACACCATAGCTCAGTGGTTAGAGCATCGCTGGCTACAAGCGAGGGTCCCTGGTTCGAGTCCTGGTGGTGACAGTCAATTTTTTCTTCAGACTTTTCCCGTTTGTCTCTTTCCCTCAAAACCAGTTAATTCTGATCTTTCTATTATTTTTTTTAATTTGCGACTACTTTCCTTTTGTACAGACACAACAGCAACAAAACCAACTCTCTGCAAGGCAAGCACGAAACATGCTCAAAGTAATCGATGCACAGACCTTCGTCTGTACAGACTCAAGTGCTCTAAAAAATCTCTGCGCTCAACTGGAGAAGCTGTCAGAAGAACTTGCGAAAACTCTGCCCACTGATGAGTCTGGCTTGGTTATCCAAGAGGGTATGTATAGTGTCGTTAATCAAGATAAAAAAATTGTCGATTCCGCAGATATGGATCTTGTGTGTGCTAGTGAGCTGGTTTCATAAAGGTTTGTTGTTCGCTAGACTTTGATGTAATAGGCCTGGCCAGTCACTTGAGTTCCGCAAATGCCACCTAACAAATCTAAATAGCTAGCTATCCAAAGCCGATAGAGTAATGTTTGTGCTATTCTGTATGATTTCCTGCACAGCGTCTTCATTCACCTTGAACCAACACTTTAGCGCCAGGCGCAGACTGCACGAAACACATAGCACTGCTGTCCCTGATCCAGCCTTGGAGTCAGGGCATGCCAAGCGTGGTCGACCTGCAGTCGAAAGACACCTCAGGTGTCGTGTCGGAGTTTCCGGAGAGACTGAGCGGAGGCAGTTCCTACAAGCTCAACAGAGTGAGAAAGGTGTGTGGTAGGCTTTCCTTTCCCCAGTTAATTTCATTTACTTCCTTCCCCACTTAATTACATTTTCTTGTAAGTTCTAGATGTACGTTTCTCTCCTATTATAATTCACGCGTTATTTTCCTTGCCAATTTCATGCCTCAAACATTTCTTACAGCCTCGACAAGACCCGGTTCCGTCACATTGACAGCATTGACGGGAAGCAGTTCAATACAACAGGCTGCAGCTCCCGAACGTAAGTGGCGATGTCTTCAGTGTGCATCTCTACACTGTACAGCCATTGGTGTTGCTCGGTGTGATCCACTCCAATAATCTATAATAAGTATCTGTTCATCCATATCATGTTTTGATTTTGTGTCCAGCTGCCCCATGAGAGCAAAATCATGCTAATGTGTTTGTGTGGGTGGGTGTGTATGTATGTGTGTGTGTGTGTGTGTGTGTGTGTGTGTGTGTGTTTGTGTGTGTACGTATGTGCTTGCGTGTTCGTGTGTGTCAACATATTACAGCTCCGCGTTTACTTCACTCTGCAGGAGCCACGTTGTATCCAATGCCTGCTACCTCTGTACCAGTATTCGCAACAGATGGGCTACAGCAAAGGACAAGATGCAATACAGGTATGCTGGTTTTTGTTTGCAGTATCCTCACGATTTTCCCTATTTCAGTTTTAAATCGGCAGCGAGGTGACAAGAGTTCATCGTTCATTTGTTAAATAATCAAATAAAGCTTTCGGGTTTGTTCATGTCCTGTAGCTTGTAATTTATTTTTCTTCGCATATGTTGCACCTGCAGAATGGTAGAAATTGTGTTCTCTTGCATTAGTAATATTATGCTAGGCTACAACACTGTGTGTGCATGTTTGTGTGTGTGTGTGTGTGTGTGTGTGTGCATGTTTGTGTGTGTGTGTGTGTATTTGTATTTATGTGTGTTGTAGGTCCGCAGCAGCCTAAGTGCTGTAACCCCAGCTGCGCATTTCCGCAGCTACCGGCCAAGCCGTGCCGCAACAACAACTGCTCTCATGTGTTTCACCATGTTTGCAGTACGCACGACATGGGAACATACTGCAGGCATTGTCGTGTGAACGATTGGTGATGCATGCTTGGGCGTTTGTGCGTATGCCGTATCCATGCCATCGACACGTGGACTTATGTCCCCACGTGACTAGATTGCAGCAAAGAGGCCTTGTTATTTACTTGCCTTGTTATTTATTTGCTTTCCTGGAACCTTAGCTGGTACGCTCTCTTTGGCTTTTGTCTGTCACATTATTTAAAAGACTGGTGCATGGGGGTGCGTCAACCTCGTGGCTGCGACTGGATATCACTATATGCCTCCGTGTGTGTGTGTGTGTGTGTGTGTGTGTGCGTGTGTGTGTGTGTGAGAGAGAGAGAGAGAGAGAGAGAGAGAGAGAGAGAGAGAGAGAGAGAGAGAGAGAGAGAGAGAGAGTATGTCTAGGTATACGTGCGGGCATGCGTAAGGCTAATTGTTAGAAGTATGTGCATGCATGCTGAAGATTGTGTTGGTGCTTCTCTCTGCTCCAGTAACTGTATGTAGCTGGACTTGTCACGTTGTCTGTGTTGTGTACGCATCACTTTGTCTGCACTGGTGCCGTGACAGTCGATTGCTTTGATCCATGCTGGCTGGCTCTTTATATAGTTCCGTTGTACCGGCGCTGCAGCTAGCGTAGGCTGTGTGTGCAGCCCTATATGCACGTGCTGAGCTTACAGTCTTCTCTCGAGTGGTAATTATTATTAACACTAATTCTGTTCGTGGACTCTGAGAATGAATACTTCAACAATGATCACTCCACAAAACTGCGTTCTGGTGTGCTATTGAGTTAAGAGGACATATTGTTCTGAGAGCTACCGAGAGAGAAAGAGAGAGAGAGAGAGAGAGAGAGAGAGAGAGAGAGAGAGAGAGAGAGACAAGCAAGATTTGACTGATTGATACTAATGTATTAGCGATTCGACGGTTGTCTTCTTCAGAATGATAATGAAGAGAGATAAAGACGAAGACATCGTTTCTTTCCTTCTTGACTGCTAGTACTGTATACATCTAATGCTGATAGTGATGGGAGGGTACAATCCACAAACTGAGGGTTGGCGGTTCGTTAAATGTCTCCTGCAATCAAGTAGAATTGACGGTTCCAATACCCCTGCCATATCCCTTCAGTCGGCAGCTGGACACCAATAGAGGCTATGCGATTACAATTATCAATAATTGATATGTGTGGGCAAAGTCGCGGCATAGCGATGGACTAGCGACTCGCGCTGTATACTGACCATTCGTTCCACAAAACGCATATCCACTTGCGGCAAAGACGATCTTGGAAATATACTGTTGTGGAAGTCTGCAGGCGAAATTAATGTGCCTATCATTTCGCACATCTCCTCTTGCTTCACGGCCCTATTATGTCTGGCCACAAATCACGACAGTCATGATGATATGTTGCTATGCTCTCTTGCACAGCATCGAGTAGACCAATTCTCAAGCAGCACGAGTTAAAATACTCAGATATCAGGCACATGAATTGAGGTGATTCTCTGGCAATGGGACAATTCTGGTACGTTTACATGTTCAGCATGGTCCCTTCTCCAGGAGACGTGTCTGACGCCTCGCGCCTATTCATACAATGATTTCCCTGCATATAGTTCATGTACTGGTGCGTCACGGCCACACATATCTTGCATCAAAAACTTCCGCCGCTCCATAACACCAGTCACCTGGTCACCGGGCCTGCAGGGTACAACTTACTAGCCTGTTTGACCTTTTTTGGGTGCAGTCCTGTCACTCGAGTTGAACTCGAGTTGAACCTTGGTGTGAAAGTTGTCGCCTGCTGGCGCGGTGACCAGGTGATTTGGGCACCCAGGAGCACGTGACCGCTTGTTCAACCATGTTCGATTGGGAATAAAGGAGGAACGCTGCATCGCAGCCTTTTCGGACCAAAACCAGTCGACTCAGCGTCCAAAAGACTACAACATATGGGCCAATCGCGGTCATCCGTGCTTTTATAAGAACGAAATGGCGCTTTTAGTGACATTTTGCATACACATCCCCATCTAGTAGGGCGCAGTCACCCAGTTTCGGTGGAAGTGCGCGAGTTCGATTGGGATTCAAGTAGGAAGGGAGCGTCGCAGCTTCCTCGGACCAAGACCATTCAACTCAGCACCCCGAAGACTACAACTGGTGAAAATTTGATTTTAGGGTATACTTCCCCTTTAAGGACTGAGTTGGGATACCGTCAGTGTAATGAATATATCGGCGAAAATGCTGATAGAGAGAATGCTTGAATCCTGGGAGGCTGGTTATAGAGGTAAGAGAAGGCGGTAGGCAATTCCATAGCATTGCAGCTTTGTTGGAAAAGAGGAAAGAAAAACGCCTACCGTGATAAACTGATAATTGATGTTAAGTTTGTTTGGTCTTCTTGGACTTGAAGACAGTGAAAGGTGACCATGTTGGAGGTGTTCTGGAGATATGTATAAGTTTAAATAGAGTAACAAGAGCTGATACTTGTCTGCGAAAGTGCAAGGACTCTAAGTCACAAAGGGCGTTTAACTGGCATTTCGTTTCGCATCTATCTACATTGACCTTTTTACGTAGCAAATACTTCCTAGCTACTCTGGCTTGTAAAATATTTAAACGCTCCAGCTCAGCTTTGGTGATGGCATAGGACCAGGCCGAGGTGGCGTGTTCCAGGGCGGGTCGGACAAAACCTTTATATAGAAGTAGCTGTATCCTGGTTCCTTATCCATAGCTGAGACTAGATCTTCCATGCAGTTTTCTCCGGAAGTCCACATTTGATCCCGAGTACACATTCTATACATTTTAATGGCATTATAAACATGAAAGAGCACAGTGTCAAGAAGCATAATTTGAGCATAATTTAGTGATTTTCAGAGCATATTGCCAGCATACTGAAAAGCATAATCCGTGGGATTTTCGAGCATTATCCGCCGACGTCTACTCAGGCGGGATGGACGAGACAGAGAGAGTACAGAGGAAGCGGAGGATGGAACGGACGGCGGAGGGAGCAGTGAGCCGGAAAGCAGTGATGGGAGTGATGGTGAGAGTGTTAGTGTTGTGCGTAGGTTTCGTGGTGGCAAGTCTTCAGTGTACAATCATCTGCTAGCTAGTCCTGATTGTTGCAATTCGTAAAACGTCTTTCTTGTTGTTTTTCCTTCTCCATGTAGCTGCTTCCAGCATAGTAAACGACAGTACTATGGCCTTTTCAGATTTTCATTGTACCTATTTGTAGTACCTCCCGGGATCAGTATTTCCACTTGAAATAATATCCACCCCAATGCCTCATTCTTAGCATTCTTTTATTCGCTTCCATGTTATTGGGCTTATTGCCCGTTTGGTATTGCGAATTCAAATAAAAAACAACAACAACAACAACAATAACAACAACAACAACAACAACAACAACAACAACAACAACAACAACAACAACAACAACAACAACAACAACAACAACAACAACAACAACAACAACAACAACAACAACAACAACAACAACAACAACAACAACAACAACAACAACAACAACAACAACAACAACAACAACAACAACAACAACAACAACAACAACAACAACAACAACAACAACAACAACAACAACAACAACAACAACAACAGTTACCAACGAGAAGGAAGAAAGTCGGGACTTGTCGTAAAGACGAAAGTTGAGAGAGAGAGAGAGAGAGAGAAAAGGAAGATGATAGCAATAATATCTAGTTGCGGCCATGGAAGTCCATGGCCACGAGATTGATGGTCCCGCATGCAATAGCGTATTAAACCTTAGCAATAATGTGTGCAAACTATTGCATAAAGAGGGGGAAATAAGAGGGTATACCAACTAAGGAAGGCCCCAGGCCTTGTGTGAAGACATAAAATAAAGACGATTATGAACCCGTTCACGGGAGATAGATAATTAATTAGCCACCTAAATAAGGCAGACTTGTCCCGTAGTGGCCTAAAAGGCAAGTGTCGATAAAGTGTCGATATATAATTGCCGGTCG